TAGTCCCTCTAGTCACAAAACTTGAACCACCCTGACCTTGAATTTAGGACAAACTTTTTCTCTGGTTATTAGTACTGTGTTTTTTAAAAAAAACTACAAATTTTATGAAAAAGTAAATGATGTAAATAATAACACTGTGGAGTTAAGAATGCTGGCTTGTTTACAACCCTATAAATGTGTCCCACCCACCTGCCTCAACTCACATCAGAACCATATTGTTCTCCAGTCTTAAAATGAAAGTAACTAGACTCCATGCTGACAGAAACTGGAACTCACAAGATGGATTCCAGTTTCAGCTCCTGGTTTCACTACTATGTCACATTGTCACATTAATTTTTTTCCTTAACCATGAGATTTCTTTTCCAACATCCCTCAGATTATGAAAAATACACAGGGATGCTCTATTAAACCGGAGTTTCTTCTCCCTCAAAATAGGTAATCTCATACTCAGGTGAAGAAATAGGTATAGGCTTTGGACAGCTGGGTCTGCCCCATTCTCTGGTAACCAGGGATACAATGCTTTTCCTTCTATTCAATTTCCTTAGCATGCACCTCACAGAGTTTTCATGAAGGTCAAAACCACCTACTGCATTAAAGTGTCCTGCACTGTGTCATTTGTCATCTTATTAGCTATTAATAATTGGTTCACCATCTTCATCTTCATCCACTGTACCCTTTCCACTCAAGTTCTCATCTTCTGTGGAATGCACACAAAGAAAGTGCACAACAACCTAAGTGTTTATTTATTTATTTATTAAATCACCACAAGATGCACAGTTACAAAGCTATTCATGATTGGGTTTTCAGTTGCTCCTTTCCCCCTTAAGTTTGCATCTTTCTGTTAGAAAATATTGAAATTGGGATCGAATAATGATGTGAAGAATATTTTAGTGAAGAAACTGTGGGTGTGGACTTCCAAGGAGTGGTCTGGCTACCCATTCTTTTTCAATCATGAGAGAATGACCATTAACCCATCAGAAATGGACATGCTGAGCAGACAACCAAGAAAGTCATGTGGCATTTCCATTCTACCTAACGATGACTGATTGGTTAAGAACCCAAACACAGAGGCCCCTTTTATTTGCACAGCTGGAAAACACTCCATTCACCATGATTTTTGAAGGAGAATCAGGCAGAGCTTATTTAAAATCTTGGCACATTGAACGTTAGAGAAGGTCATCATAGCCTTTCAGAATCTCTGGTCTAGTCAGTACCTCTTTTTAATTTTCCCAGTTCCCTTGTTTATTCAATAGTGTGAACACTGGGCTTTAAATTCCACAGTCATTCCACAGTGGCAATGATTATCTTAATGTATTTAAAATGGTTTGCTGCTTTGCCTCATTAGGGCCGGTTCTCTCAAGATAGGAACTAGCTGTGCATAAAATGAAGCAAACCAATGATACCCAGGTCTTTTTGGATTTTGCTAGTAGAATAGAGGAGGCAGAGAACTCAGGCAAGGGGTGCGAATGTTCCCAGATAGCCATTTCCTGGGGACAGATTATGAAATCCACTGACTGACAAATGTCTCCATGGCTATTAGACTGACAAACAAGGATTCTGTACCCACAGTAGGCCCTTCACCATGGCCCAGGGACAACATTCGAGTCCTGAAATCTCATATTACTCCCCAGGGGCCTTCTGGTCAGTCAATCAACAGGCTGTTCTTTAGGATCCCCTGGGTTTTCCCTAGGTCTAATCTGGTCCCCAAATGCTAATGCTTCATTTCACTGAAGAACGTGGCTGAGTCAGGGTGAAAATATGTAAGAAAGCTCCCTATGGATTTCATGTCACTTGAGATGAAAAATGATATGCTGCCTCCATTCTGTAACAATCTGAGACTGTAAACAATGATTTAATTAATGACCAGAAGAGAATGCTTGCTCACCGATCTTACGTGGTCTAAAACCCCACAACTGACGCAACGTGAAGCCAGTGTTTACATGGGCTCTGATGACTGGAACCTAACATTTGCATGGGAACAGTTACTCTGAAGAAGGGCAAACAATGACATTTCATTCCTAAGGCCCTTCAGGAGAGACGCAGAATGAGGAAGGTGAAAACTCTATGAGACACAGGGTCTGGCAGGGAAAGACAAGGTTTGGACAGGAAGAGAAATTGAATCACCAACTATTCCAAGGACCGGGCCAGCTGAACAGCTACTATTACCCCTTGGATTTTCCATGCTGCTGTACTAAGAACTTAAAATCTAAAGGGCTCTGTCCAATAGCCAGGCCCAGAAATACTCTGAGCTGAGTAAACTGTCTTCAAAAAGATGCTTCAAAGATTCTTATAAACAATGAGTAAAACTAAATTATGGTGTAATATTAGTTGATTCAGACAAGACTTCAATTTGAGTAATTTTCATCAGCTGGACACAGACAGTGGTAAAAACAATAACCCATGACTAAATGCAGACTTGCTGAGGGGAAGAGCTGCAATCTGATGTGGCAGGGATCACAGCAACATTTATAAAAATCAAAAAATGGAATGAATCTTTTTTCTTTCAAAGACCACAGAATAAAGGGAAAAAAATAGGGAAAGTGCAGCTCACTCAGGGTTTTCAAATGTCAACAAAAAGTTGCAAAACCCTGCTCAAGTATGGTCTCCTTCCTTAAAGAAAGGCGGGGGTCTGCCAAGCCTCCAGCAACTCTTATCTGTGCTCTTCCCATGCCTGTCCCTAAAATGAAAGCAAGAGTATTGTCAGATAGTTGCTGATACCTTTTACTGAGGTGAGCCCAACAGCTGATGAAATCATTAGATACTTTTTTAGATCTTCAAGGAAATGTTAAAAGCTTTCTATGCAATACTCCATTATATAGATGAGAAAACTGAGATTTGCTTAAAAGAGGGTTCCAAGTAGACGCAGGAGGTTCTGAAATGTGCTCAGCAAAGGAAAAGATGAACAGAAGCCTATTTGCCTGCCTGTACACCTATTCTTTGCATCCCTAATGCAGAGATCCACCCAGTGTCCAACAAGACTTAGCAGAGAAGGATCCTCTCAATATGACTCAATCATTTTTTGTTGTTGGAGGTATGTGGAGAAGGGGTACTTGAAGTCAGAATTTAGAGTTGCGGATCATTTTCTTTTCGAATATCAGACCTTGCCCCCAGTATGTGACTATGTGGGCCGATAGGTGCAGAAAGCATGGAGTAGTCAGTCATTTGTGACTGTGTACCTACTAAGATAAAGAGGGTCTCCCTATCAGAGAAGCAGATCAGCAAGAAACAAGGAAACGGAAAAGGAAACACAACTCCCTGTTCTGAAGAGGACAAAAGTTTTCTTCCTATTTTGGGTTTCTGAGTCACTGCCCTTTTAAACTAAACACTCCTCTTTTTAATTTCAGGGAACAACTCTGGTGGCTTGCAACTAAAATAACTATCATTAAGTCACCCAAACTGGAGCTGAGACCTGTAAACTTTGCAATGAGTCCTTCTCTCTCCATTAACAAACATGGAAGCTTTGTAAAGGATAGTTCAGGAGACAATATAGAGCTATATAATTCAAATCCAACAAGAACAATCAACTGCACAATGGGACATATTTTAGTATTCCTAGGCAATGTACTTTTTTCTAACTGTAAAGGAGCATCTTCTATAATTAAAGTTAACAGCCAGTGGACTATCAGAATGTTTAAGAGGAAATATCAGTCAAAGGTTGCTCTATGGGTTATGTGTAACCCCAAGGAGAATGTAGATGTCCCACAGATCAATACATCAGAAAATAAAATGTGGTGTTGATGTGTCGGGCACTTGTCTATGAGGTTTATTCGCCTGGCATCATTTCATGCTCACAACATCTGTATAAAGCATGTACCATCACTAAAACAGCTCTATGGTGACATACTCTGAGAAGACAGGAATAGTAATTTTCATATATGACTTGGTAAATGATTGAAACTGGATTTGAACTTGAGGAATCAGTACTCCACCATTTTTCTCTAATGCTTCTTGTAGAGTATAGCATGGAACAAAGTCCATCATAGACCGGGGGGAGGAGGGGGCATTTTCTCCCCAACCAGTTTCTTCCTCAGAGCATTGTGACATGCAACACAGAATCATCAATTAATCTATGGTCATATAGAAACCAACAATCCTTGGCATTATTGGAAAAGCTTATGCCTCCTCACTGAATTAGATCAGTACTTAATAGATATTTAATAAATCCTTATTTTTAATATGAATCAAAGAAAGATTATTACCATCCCCATTTTGAATGTTAGAATATTGATACAGGTTAAAGATAATTAACCGGGGGATGTAGTGTTAGTACAGCAGGTAGGGCATTTGCCTTGCATGCAGCCAACCTGGGTTCGATCCTAGGCACCCAATATGGTCCTTCAAGGCCTCCTGGAGTGATCCCTGAGCTCAGAGCTAGGAGTAAGTGCTGAGCACTGCCAAGTATAGCCCCCAAAACAAAAAAAAAAGATAATTAACTAAAATAACTATGCAACTAAATTATGCTATGAGAGAATATCAAACTGGAAACCTCAATGGATTAATCTGAAAGGGGCTGCTATCATGCATAAAATATATCAGCAAGGATTGAGCAGGGGCAGAATGAGCAAAAAGCCATCTCCTTTACATGGGTCACGCAGGGACACAAACTGATGTAGGTCACTCCACTTATGACTATTTCAACTGGAGCTAGTAGGAAAAGAGAATTGGATACTACCACACTTAGTTCTTAAATGCTATACTCCAGAAATGATCTCTGCAGTCAATGGGTCTGGCAGAGAAATTAATCTAAGATGACTCAGCTTCCAAACAACTGAGTGGAAATGCTCAACCAATCTACTTGATTGTGATCTTAAGGTTGAACAGACCTATTTTGGGAGGACCTAATAAGCCTATCAATCAATAATCATTGAGAATCCTTATCTTAGCATTCACGTCAAGCTCTTAGAACTTCTCACTTTCTCATGGCTCTCCAGATTTCTGTATATCCCAGGGGAAATTAGCCAGGGGGGAAGCCATGACAGGTTGAAGATTGGGGGACCTACCTTTGTTGGCACAGGCCATCCACTTGAGATTGTCTGCAAAAGCAGCCTCGCGTCCAATGAGGTATGTGAAGATGCGAACCTGAGAGAGAAAACACGAAGGTCAACAGGATTCACTTTTCACCGTGTTGCACAGACCACATGCATGGCTCACACACATGTGGTTTACCTCTTTAATGCTCCATGCTTTCCATCTGTAAGAACATATTTAAGACATTTGAAGTACATTCAGCTAGAAATATATTCAAAACTAGGGCCTTTGATCTTTTAAACCATATGGCACTGGTGATGGTTGTTTTTCGGTGTGCAAGTCCCACAGAAGAGAATAACATGAAATAGGAGACAAGCAGCATCAGGGACCAGGTTTGCTTCACACATGGACAAGGATCATCTGGGTATGGAACAAACTCACAGCCATTTTACTCATTCACACAGAAAATGCATTATATGATTTTCTTGAAAATAAAAAGGCCACCAAAAGACACTTGTCGTTCTCCCTTCCCCCACAATGGTGAGGACAGGCTGCAGACACTCTCCTGCCATATGTGGTGTCTGGCATAATTTTAGGAGGTAATTAACTGGGAGGAGAGGCACAGCCTGGAGCCAGGAGAACCATGGGGACTCTCTCTGGTATTCCTAAGTATTTAGCTCCCAAAGAACAGACGGCACATTTAAAACTTGGGCCTTCTCATTTCCTATTTCTTACTCAGTTTCTCTTGTATGAAAGCAGAATTCTTTGAAATGAAGTACAACACACCTCATAATGTAGTACTTTAGAATAAGATGGAAGAAAGAACAGTCATTAACAGGATTAAAAATCTCTTCCAATTTAAGATGGTATGTGAAGTCAATACAACATGGTCTTAACAAAATTCTGCAGATGGACCAAAGATAGTCCTTCAACCACCTCTTTGGAACTGAGTCCAGTGCAGACATGGTACTTGTGTAGAATAATGCACACCATGTGTGATACGAAAGCCTTTACCAGCTTATATCCCTCAGCTCATTTAGATCAGGGCAGAGATTCCACTGCTCCTTAAGATTTTATTGCAATTACTCTTATCTGCTGCTCGTGGAGATACCTCACTACTTTCCATTACCCTATTCACTGAAAGAGGAGAAGGAAGGGATGGTCTCTTTCTCCAGTTGTGTTCTACAATAAAGAAAAGGTAAAGGTAAAGGCCCTCCCGTTGATCGTCGATTTGCTCGAGCGGGCCCAGTAACGTCTCCATTGGAGACCTTGTTGTTACTGTGTCTGGCATATCGAATACTCTCGGCAGCTTGCCGGGCTCTCCGAGAGGGGCAGAGGAATCGAACTCGGGTCGGCCATGTTGGCCGCTTGTAAGGCGAACGCCCTACCGCTGTGCTATCGCTCCAGCCCAATAAAGAAATGAATAAAAATATATGAATTTTCAGAACTGTTCTTTTAAATAAAGATTTTACTTTTGATAATACTCTTATCTTGGAATCATCACTTGAAGATTAGTTTCTTAGCAGTAATTGATCTCCAAATTAAGGCTATGTTTAAATATTTATCATCTTTAGCCTTCCATCTGTCCTCTTTTGTGTTGGTAGGCAATTTTTTCATCCATTACAGCTCCTTCCAGGGGCAGAAGAGCATAAGGAAGACGTTGCCTCTCTTTCCTATCCTGGATCATGGTTCATTCCACACTTTCCCAAAGGAATAACACAAGGAGGAAGGGAAGAAGACAATTCTCTCTCTCTCTCTCTCTCTCTCTCTCTCTCTCTCTCTCTCTCTCTCTTTCTCTCTCTCTCTGTGTGTGTGTGTGCGCTCTCTGTGTGTATGTGTGTGTGTGTTTATTTCAATGGCAAAATTCTGCCTTCTCTTTGGGCAGAGGAAAGAGGGAAGATTCATTTTCATATGCCTAAAACATTGCTGCCCTTTCCACTTTTCCTGTCTGGATAATGTTGTCATTTATCTAAGGATGTCTGATTGAAGGAGAAAGTAAGACCCAGTTAAGTAAAGGTTGTGATTTTTTTTCTCATGATTTTAACAAGACCTAATCTCATGGGGCGGATAATACTGGGGGCTTCCCTCCTTCTCCTAAAGAAACTGGTTCTGTCATATCAGGAAATTCCAACCAATTCCAAGGTCCAGAGCCAACACCCTTAGGAATGAGGGAGGAATCTACTCTCAAAACCTGATTTATGTTTTTGTTGTTGTTGCTTTCATAAATCTTTGCCTTTAATTTCTCATTTATGCCTCTTAAAGGGGAAACACTAGTCTAATAAAATCTAGCTCCGCCTCTCCCCCACTGGCTCTTAACCAAGCAGAAAGCATAAGAGATGATTTAAGAATTAGAGCTATGAGTCTTTGTAGGAAAATAGGAAAAGGCCTAACATTGAGTGCCCAGCTAGTTTTGTTTTTGGTAAAGGTACCTGTATATGTCAAGCCTCCATTGGTATCCAGAAACGTTTGAGATAAAATGCATTACCTCTCAGAGACATAATTAAAACCTCCGACCAAGGCTGTGTACCATTGGCAAAGTTTTTTCAATCCAGATTTTTAAAAGATGGCAAGCCATTTGGAAAACCAGTAGGATTGCGCCAATTTTCAGAACAGACATGATTGCTCAAGAATAATTGTGCTAACAATAACCACCATAATGAAAATCAGCATCTTGACTCCCTGCACAATCACTGCTGCCCATATTCCTACTACCACTGTGTTCTATTGGCAGCACCCTCCCTTGGGTTAGGTATGTGAGGAGGGATTTACAGGCTTTATAATTGTATTGTTTGTTTGTATTTTATTTTATTGAAGACTCATTTAGCATTTTAACTAATGTCCAGTCCTTGGCTCCCAATTGGACAGGCCTCCTTATTTGAGTAATAAAAGATGGAAATGACTTGTTGCCTGTTTGCCTATAAAATAAACACAAACAAATGATACTGGGTTCATTCCCTGGATTTGTCATAATAAAGAATTTCCACCGGCATCTAAAGAAAAAAGCCTCTACTCCAAAATAGCTCACTTTTAAAGAGAAATGTAACAATACTCATAGCATTTTATAATTATATTGTAATTTTTTTCAGACCCAATAATTCTATCTCTGAAATTCACTGTATAGCAAGGATAAATAAAAACATAATAAATAAAATAAAATGACTATGGGGACCAAACTGGTAACAAACACAATAAGAAGTGGTAGGAGTATGAAGAATTATAGAATATATGTTTTCTTTTATGCCTGTCATTCAATTTTAGACATTTTCACAAGCACACAAAAATGATAAAATACAAAATATAACCTTCATTATTTGTAATGTTGAATTGTAAATCCAAAATATCTCTTGATAGCTGACTGATTGAAAAAAAATGTGTATTTTATTTGAAGCAAAAAAGTTTTTACTGAAACTTATTTAGAAAGATGTGAGGGGAGAGAAAGAGAAAAGTACATATTTGAGAAAGAACACAGGTTTCTCCAGAGTGGAAATAATTAAGCAAAGATATTTAAAGACAAACAAGCAAGATATGAGTTCATGGAGAAGAAGGGCTTGGAAAGCAAGCCAAAACATCCTGTTTTAATGTATAAAAAAGCCAAGAAGTTATGTATTTAGGAAGCCAGACATACATTATAAATTGGCCATTTAAAAAAAAAATAAAGCAAGTTTGAGCTTATATAGGTATTGTGTGGGATAAATATTTTTTTAAAGAAGAAATTCACTGTTACTGTCACTGTTCTCCGGTTGTTCATTGACTTTCTTGAGCGGGCCCAGTAATGTCTCCATTGTGAGACTTCATTGTTACTGTGTTTGGCCTATCGAATACATCATGGGTAGCTTGCCAGGCTTTGCCGTGCGGGTGAGATACTCTCGGTAGCTGCTGGGCTCTCCAAGAGGGGTGGAGGAATCGAACTCGGGTCGGCCATGTTGGCTGCATGCAAGGCAAACGCCCTACCCGCTGTGCTATTGCTCCAGCCCAAAGAAGAAATTATCATTTCATAAATGTCTATATAATTTAAATGAATAATTGAGTATCATTTTAGTAATTAAAGATTATTATAAATGAAAAGAAAAATAAAGACACTGATACTTTCCTTCTGTACAGAGGCACCAGTGTAGTTTTGAAAAATCAACCGCAAGAAGAGATGATATGTAGAAATTAAAATCCTGGTCCAGCATCTTTTACAGTTGGCTACATAGTCCATGTTTGATTGATTGAGTGCAAAGCCTTCCTAAATAAAATAGATGAATTTTCTCTCATTTTCATCAGTAATGGATTATAAAATTTTTATTTCCAAGAATTTTTACTTTTCCTTCCAAGATAAATTCTAATTTTTAGTTCTAAGAATTGGAGATTTCTTTCTTAGACATCCCACCAAACAACTTCCACATATCTCTGTGAGCCACTCTTCTTTTGGAGGTTACACCGTGCCAGAGCAAAGGCAGATTCCAGTGAAGTGCCACGTGCCCAGTGCAGAGTATGGTAGTAAGGAACAGAGTACAGTTCAGAGGATGCAGCTGTCAGGACCCACCAAAACTCTCCAAAAAACCAAGCGTGCTCATCACCCACAGGCACAAAGGCACCACATTCATTAACTCAGTACAATCACAGGGGGGAAAATGTCTGTCTCCATCTATTACTTCATTTTGATCTCCCATTTAAGTTTGGAAGGTCTTTAAATGTTCTACAAATCCAATTAAGCTTAATAAAATGTTAGGATGTGGACATTTCAAAGTTCAAAGTCACTTAATTTAATCTACTTAGTATAAAATTTCCCAAATGGAACAAACAAAACACTCAATCCGGTTTTCCCCCAAAAAACACATGCTTCTTGCTTATTTAGTTTCTTACTCATCTAGTGCAACTGCCACCAGAGATGTATAGGGGCATCGTTCCTCTCCACCTCACTGAACACAGGTAGTTTGAGTTTGACAAAAGATCACTGTCTCTTCCATCTACAGTCATTAAAACAAGGGGAGAAGAGAGGCAGCCAGATGATCTATACAGCCACAGCCAGAATATAGGCTGTGACATCTATACATATTCCTTCAGTGACAAATGGGGCCTCATCATCATTTATGTGTCATAAAAAACCTCTAATTACCTACTATGTC